GCTGCACGCATTTTTCACAACTTCGACACCATGATTCCATGGCCGCTGCGAACGCTTCTGTAGGAATCTGTTTGACCACTGGAAAATTGCTGATGCAATAGTGGATTGAAAAACGGCATCCTTGTCTCATCCATTGTCATAGTTGATGAAAAGAAAGTCCCATTCATGCCTTCATCATGTGTCAACATCGCCTGGCAAATTGCCATGCGTCCAGCCCTGTGGTCATCCGCCAGGATTCGTGGCACCCACCTGGAGGACATCCGCATTCGCAGGTCTTCATGCAGGATTTTGTGCACAGATCCCACGGAAATGCCGACTTTGGGGGCTATGTTTTCCACACTCAATCGGCGATCCTCCAAAACAACTTTCTCAACTCGCTTGACCATGTTGTCAGACCGGCTGGTGCGAGGCCGGGATTGTTTTGGTTCGTTATCACATGACGTTCGGCCTTCTTTGAACTGTCGCGCCCACGAACGCACATTTTTCACATTCATGACACCATCACCACATGTCTCACTTAACTGGTGATGAATTTCAATGGGTGTAGCACCACGGAAGTGCAGAAAACGAATGATTATTCGCTGTCCTTGTAACGAAAACGTTGCCATTTTAAGTATCAAAAACACCCCTCACCCTCGCCGCTACCACTAGAGTTCTGTGTGCCGTAGAGTTCTGCCATCTCTGTCACGCATTCACAAAGAGTGCACACGTATTTTAAACTAAACCGCATGTATCTATCTGCTCCCAGTCCTGAGAAAAAAAATCGGAGACCTTAGAACTTGAACGCCCCTCGTAATGTTTATTGAGTTTAATATATTTGTTATGGAAGATTCTTCCAGAACAAAACATTCAACTCAGTGATCATTAAAAATTCCATGAGTTAGATAATGTATATGTATTTTATTTACCTGACACTGTAAAGTGCAAAGTTATTTCAGTTTTTAATTCTTGTTAGTTTGTATGCCCCAGGTATCTATGAAATTGTCAGTCTTGTATATAAGATGTTGAGTGTTTAAAAATAAAGTAGTATTTCTTTATACAGTGAAGTATTGTATTTCACACATTATCGCAGTCTCATATGTGTTTCTGTTGTGTGTCTTGGCTGCTTGATGACTTTTTGCAAAGTATACTCTTTTATTTTGTTGGGTGTTTAATGAAGTTTCACTATGTTTGTACTGAGCAGGTTTTGCTAAGTGGTAATGCATCTGACTTGATCCAGACTGAGGTTCATCATGGTTTACCCCAGTCCATCCAAGCAAATGATGGGCTATTGCCTTAAAATATGCCATGTTTACTTCCTTTCACAATTCATTATTTACTGTCATCCAATCATTCAACTGCATGTAATGTGAGTTACTGACAGTGTAATTAAACAAACTACAAATAAATAATTATTTGTGTAACTGAGTTCCAGGAATATTCTTGGGGGTAAAGGTTGGCCAGTGCGTAGGGCTGACTACCTTGCTGCCATCTATGAGCTGATTGTCTAGAAAATGTGGGAACCTCAGCATCTCACAACCTTATTGGCCTCCACGGCCTGCTACAGTGATACCTTTGCCTTTTTTACTGTATTTGTGTTATTCAGGAGGTACTGGCAAGTCTCGGGGACAAGGTCAGAGAAGACGTTTTGGTGCTAAACGAAAACGGGATTCATCTCAAAAGCAACAACAAAGAAAGAGACCATGTAAGTTAACTGTTTCAGTCCATAGAATTTAATGTTTGTTGTGTTGGTACATCACATACAGAGATCATTTTATTAAGTTATTCAATCATAGAAATCACTGCATCATTAAATAACCAACAAAACAAACCATCATAAAATAATCTATAATTTGTAAGTTCATCTTGTAATTTCTCTGTGGATGAAATTTGCTTCTGTCTTAGAAATATATAAGTAATTGCACATAAATTGTCTGACAAAAAAGTTTGTGAACTCATTGCTTTTAAAGTGCTACATACCTCATTGCTGAATATCACTGTGGTCACCTTCGAAGTAGTCCCCTTGGGAAGCTATGCACCAATGCCAGTGCCTAGTCTGCCCTTAAAAACAATTTTGGAACTGGTTTTGTGGAATGGCCTTCAAAGCTGCTGTCATACATGGTGTGTCCAGGATCTGTTAGGACAAATTGTTTTAAATTTGGCCCTGCAATGCCATATCTGTTGGCGAGTTGTGGCGTTAAGATTCTTGAAGTTTCAGCTGTGGCTCTGTATAATTTCAAAGCGCAAACTTCACTGCATCACGTATTCTGACCTTGAATGTAACGACTGTTCTGACGCTCGTCGGAAAATGGCGGTTGAACAGAGAGCCAACATCAAATTTTGTTTGAAGTTAGGCAAAACAGCCGGAAAAGCGTACAAAATGATGAAAAGTGTGTATGGCAGTGATTGTTTGAGTTGCTCGAACATTTTTCGATGGTATGCTGTATTTCCTGACGGCAAGGAGGACATTGAAGACGCTCCACTTGCATCAAAGCCGAAAACTAGTCGCACCGAAGAAAATGTAAAAAAAAATGTGACAGAAATCCTTGCATCAGACAAATGTGTTTCTGCAAAACTCATCGAGGAGGTATTGAGAATACCAAAAAGTACTGTGCATCAAATTTTGACTGAGGATTTGGGCTAATGGAAGGTCTGTGCACGGTTTGTGCAGCACGCGCTGTCAGGCGATGAAAAACATGCCAGAGTGGAACACTGCAAAGACATGTTACGGTCGGCCCAAAGTAATAAAAAATTTACAAAATCGATTGTTACTGGTGACGAGACATGCTGTTTTCAATATGAGCCTCTCAAAAAATGGCAGAGTGCAGCGTGGTTGAGCCCAAAGAAGCCAAAACCAAAGAAAGTGTGCATGCAAAAGAGTCGAGTAAAGGTACTGCTAACCGTTTTCTTCGATTCCAAAGGAATCATTCACAAGGAATTTCTGCCAGAAGGTCAAACAGTGAATTCTGATTACAATCTCGGAGTCCGCAATTGTTTGTGGGCGAGAATTCTTTGAATTCGACCTGAATCTTGAGAGCAAGGTTCCTGGTCGCTTCTCCACGACAATGCCCCACCCCACAAATCGAAGATGGTGCGCGATTTTTTTGGCCAGAAAAGGGATAACAGTCCTTGATCACCCTTAATATTCGCCAGATTTGGCTCCAGCAGATTTCTGGTTGTTCCCCAAATTTAAGTTGGCGATGAAAGGAAACCGTCATGACTTCACCCAGGACGTCCAAAGGAAATGTACCGCAGTTTTAAATGTGATTGCACAAAAGGAGTACAGTGACTGTTTTTGAAAACTTTTCAATCGATTCCAGCTATGTATTGATTCAAAATGAGACTATTTTGAATAAAAAGAATGAAATTTTGAAAATAATTGACGTCTTGTATTTTTAATGAACACATTCCTAACAGAACCTGGACACACTCTGTTACTCCTGATGTTATCAATGTCTTCAAAATGCCTTCCTGTCCGTGTTTCCTTTATCTTCATGTGAATAGGCAGGATGTTCAAGCACATTTGTTTGTACACTAGCTAAAACTCCCTCATGGACAGTGCTCCTTTGGGACCATTTTTGCACACACCTTCCTCATGTCAAGATCTTCCTGTTTCTCTGTTGATGTTCACTTGCTCTGCTCTGACAGTCAGCCGACGATTTTCACACACAATTCGATGAACTTTTGGAATGTTTTCTAAAGTTCAGCTTGTTGCTGGCCATCCTGTTCTCTCTTCATCAGTGACACTTTCTCTTCCCTCAGAAAAACATGTTACCCACTTGTAAATTGCCGTTTTCTTCATAGCATTATCCCCATAAACTTACATTAATATCTCTCTAATTTCACTTCCATTCTTGCCAAGTTTAACGAGAAATTTAATGTTCGTTCATTGCTCTAATTCAAGCTCCGACATCCTTGCGACAGGACACCAAAACACACTCAGACAATAATAGACGCCACTCAGAAAGAGACTGCCAAAGGCCACACCATAGCTCAAGCAGTTAGTTGCTGGCTTCCCATCGCAGTGGCCCGGGTTCAATCCTAGGTCTGGTCAAGTGGGATTTGTGGTGGACAAAGTGGCGCTGGGGCAGGTTTTCTTGTGAGTACTTCGGTTTCCCCTGCCAATCTTCATTCCACCAAATTCTCCATCATCATAATCACCCATGGCAGGCACACTAGGCCAATCAGTGGCCGACGTGCTAATTGGACCCACCTGGACTCCACCCCCCCACTAAGCAAAAAGAGACTGTCATAGATTAACAAAAACACAGCTGTGAAATGCTGATATGTGAATGTCATCAGACCATACTGAGGTTTCTGTCCACTACTGTCATAGCAAGCACATTGTGGAGAGTTTGCAGACTTTATTGTCAGACCTTGTACAAACCTGTCACACAAAATTTTCACCTGTTTGTCACATCTTCCATATTTTCTCAAAAGGGATCCTTTTACATAGTATGCATGAATTAAGTTGTACTTCTTTTGGCTTATTTTGGACTTCATCCATCATCCAGTATGTAAAAGACAAAAGACCACGGCGTTTCGGAGACTGGATTGAGACTAGCTCTTTCTAATGGGCCCAACTGAGTAGGTTTATCCTTCCCTACCCACCTGAAGATGGAGAGAGATCCAGTCTCCGAAACGTCGTGGTCTTTTGTCTTTTACATACTAGATGATGGATGAAGTCCAAAATAAGCCAAAAGAAGGATGGTATACACCATCATCAGAATCCTTTCAAGTCTATATGAATTAAGTTGTTAAGAACCCATACATTTGGATACATGAGTAATGGAATATTTATCATTGTACTGCTTATTTAATGGGAATTTATAGTTAGAATCAGTGGCTCTTCACCATAAATAGGGCATTGTGAACTATTGTTGTATTTGTGCCTCAGAGTTCAGCTACCATGGGAAATGTTGACAATCTTGATGCCATCTGTGATGGCACCAGCATCAGGCTTTGTTTACCAAGTGAACCAGGACTCAGGATGGTTGGTTAGGACCCCAGGAACTGCCGTCATGTTCCTGTCCCAGCACATGGTATATGCAGCAGTGTGGTCACTCCACCCAGACACAGCTGTTACTGTGCTGACCATTGGTTTGTCCTAATCTGAAATGTTTGTGTAACAGGTGTTCCGGCACCAGTGACTCAGGTGAGCAGCATCCCAGTCCCTGCTGAAATGAATAGTGACAGAGTTGTATGAGAGGCTGGTGACAGCAGGGATTCTTCCATATGGAAAAGCTGATGCAGATTGTAAAAACAAAGAAGAGGCTAATTCTGTAAGACCTGTGGACTTCAGTCAGCCTGAAACATTAAAAGTGTAAGAATTTACTACTTAAACATCTTATTTCTTCATTTGGGAACAGTTGTGATGCTGAAAGACTAATATGTGGTAGACTTAAATTGCTATAAACATCAGTTTCTGAATCCTGCTTTCTGGATTGGATTCATATTATTAACACTCCAATTGTTATCATCATTGTGTTCATTTCCAGATTTCAGCCTGGTTTAGTGGCTTTGCTGCACTCTGGCAATCCATGTAGTTCCTGTGGCGTTCGTTTCCTTCCAGAGGAACGTATGAAATACAGGCAACATTTGGATTGGCATTTCCATCAGAACAGGCGTCAGAAGGACAGTGGTCACAATCAGAGTAGAGACTGGTATTTGAGTCTCTCAGATTGGATGCAGTGTACAGAATTTGAAGACCCAGAGGAAATAGGTATGAAATGCAATTCTTACCTAGATATGGCATGGAGGACTGTATAGAAAATGTCTCCTTCATTGCCACGGAAACATCTTTAGCAAGCCATTGCCTAGCAACGAAAGGAGAGATACAATTTACTGAGCCTTTGCGTAGCAATGGCAGGGATACACAGACTGATGGGATGGCTTTATGAAGTTCACTGTGAGATGGGCTCAGGTGCCATGATGTACATATAAAATTTTGTAAAGATTGGTTCAGGCATTCAGAAATTAAGGGGGTGGGGACAGATTCAGAGTTATGCTGACTGATAATTTAGAGATCGCGTAAGCCTACTTTTATAAAGTAGGCAAAAAAGATATAAGGGGTGATGTTGCATATCTCGAACATAATTTCCCTGTAAGAATCTCTGAAACCTACAGAAATTCAGAGTACTCATTGTCACATAGATTGATTGTTGTCCTTGACACATGTGTATAAAACCTGTATCACTTGCCCAGTTGTCCTGAGAGAGAGATGGGGAGATGTTTGAAGACAGTGATGAAGCAGGTTATTATGTTGGCAGATAAGGGGACTGGATTGGTTGAAGCAGTCAGCAGTGTCGAGTTTTGCGTTCATGATCAGTGTCACTGGTAAAATTTCAATACAGGTGTTTGGTGGATCTGCTCTCCATGGTTTCTTTATAGAAATTATCCAGTTGTTGTTGCCTTGTATCCTGTGACATACTGATGCGCATGAATAAACTAAAAGTATTTGATCAAATGAATAAATTATTTAAACCATGGACTAATTGATTTAATTTTATAAAGAAGTCAGTTGGATTGAATGATACATTTCATGTACATGCTCCACTTCTGGACTTCTTGTATCTGACAGAACTGAGTTTTATTGTTTGTGTGTTGGTATCTTTGTTAGAAAAGCCATGAACAGAAAAGACTAGTGTTTTTTATCAGCAATTTCAGCTTATGGTATGTTGTTATGCAGTCATGTAACACTTAGAGAGCATGATCTTCTGGGTTGTAACATTGTGTAGTTGTAGGAAAGCACAATGTTTCAGAAGAACACAGTTCCTCCATCTTCAGGGTCGAAGAGCAAACTAGGAAGAAGCAGACAGCTGGGCTTGCTTCATGTTTTTGCTGGTTTCTTGCTTCTGTCATGAAGTGGGATGCAGTATGTTGATCCAAAACAAACCACGTTGCATTACAAACCAGAAGCAAATATTATTCATAGAGAGTCATATCTTCTGGAATGTAATGCCGTGTAGTCTGTTGAAAGTTAACTCTCAGCGGTTCGGAGGAATATGTCACCTTTGTCTTCGGATCAGAGAATAAACCAAACAGAAAGCCAGCTTGAAGCAGGTAGAGCTGCATGCTGATTTCTGTTTATTAACAGTGACATTTAGATTTAGTCCGTGTAGTCCCTCTAGCAGCACCAAGTCCTGACCATAGCAGTAATGAGCTATTGCTGAAGATAGGATGTTTAACACATCTGTGTGGGGGGTGGTTGTTAATTTGAGATAGATGGTTGAAAATAAAATGATGGAGCATGCATCAACTTCTGTTATTACCTATCAGAAAGTACTGTAATACCGACATATAATTCTTTTTAATTTTCAGGACCATGCTGGTTTGAGATGCAGCAGGCTGAAAAAGGGAGAGAAAAGGAGGTTCAGGAAGTTCCAAGTGTTTGTGCAGGGGAGAATCCTAATGATGCATTTTGTGGTATGTGCTCAGACAAATTTGAACAGTTTTTTAATGATGAAATTGAAGAGTGGCATCTGCGTGGAGCCGTGCGAGTAGATGGGAAGACATTTCACCCGCTTTGCTCTGAAGACTACAAGGTTAGTATATTTGTTATAATGTTTCCCTTAATTTGAGAGACATTATATTGTCATTTTGACAAGATGCTTGTACTTACTACTTGCCTCCATGGTACTCTGAGAACCTTGACCATGTCTGTGACATCACTGTTCTTCTTTGTTCCCTTCTCCTGACATCTTTTCACTTTTTGCTCTCCTGAATAATTTTCTGCATCTTCCAGCCATTTAAGTCTGTGTCTTCTCATTTTCCTTCTACTATCTGACCTGCTTGCATAATTCATTTAAATTGCGTGCACCAACCACTTCAGCTTATTCCTCTGAATATCCTCAAGCAGATTAGATGTTTTGTACAATTTCTGTGGCTTCTGATTAATTTTGTTTCTGCAAACCCCATGATATTTTTGATGCACACCATCCTCAGTCATGCACCATGTTTCACACTCATAAATTATTTTGTATATTGTTTTATATGTTTTAACCTATTCTGTTCAGCTCAAATTTCTGGACTTAAACATACGTAGTAAACCCTGAATTGTCTGTAATGATTCTCACTACGGTTTCTTCGCCTATATCACTCCTTCCTGATATTAGTCAAAGTGGCTCTATGACTATATAGTTATTAAAATCTGTTTGTCTAATAACCAGTGGGAACTATTCATTAGGAATTAAAATTGTAGCATGTATTAAATTATGAGTGATGAAAGTGTGGCTGGAAGGGCTAGTAGAAAAATATGTGTATAACAGAATGAGTCCTTTTTACTGAATCAGTTGTTATTTACTGTGAACATCAAAATATGAAGTACAATGTATCGTGTATGATTTATTTGGTGAGGTCTTAACTCTCATTTTAATAATTCATTTTCTTTGCTTATGAATGATCCATTTCTTGTTTTTCCGTAGTTGAATGTAGAGTGAAATTAATTTATCCTTGTGCATTATTTATGGTCAGTGTTACCTCTTGTAGAATCAATATATACATGACTTATAAAACTGATAATGTTGTATCATACAACATGATCAGTTATTTACTTGCTTTTGGACTACCATAAGATAATTCACACATTCTGAAATTTAAAGTATTCTTATAAAATTGTACTTCTTTATTAACTAAATGAAGGAACTGGGATAGTGTCAGTATAGTGACTGGCTATGGGCTGGACAACTGAGAGGTCAAAATTCGAATTCCTGTAGGGTCAAGAATTTTCTCTTCTCAGAGTTGGCCAGACCAGCTCTATGGTCCACCCAATCTCCTATCCAGTGAGTAGCAGGGGTAAAGCAGCTGGGGTGTGAAGCTGACCACTCATCTCCAGCTACTGCTGAGGTCAAGAAAATATGGATCTGTACATCCACTCCCCCATACACCTTCATGGCATAATGCTTAATTAGTTAAGCACAGGGACAACTATACCTTTATTAACAAAATGAATTCTTGATTTGGTTTAGAACTTGTAGTAACTTCAGAACTTTTTAACAGTTTTTTTAATGCTAGTGGGGTGGGACTAAGTCCCTTGAACTGCAGCCACTTCTGGCCTATTGTACCAGCCCCAGATGACAGGTGAGGGTGATTGTGGAGCAGTTAGTGGAATGAAGATTGGCAGGGGAAACCGAAATACTCTGAGAAAACCTGCCCCAGTGTCATTTTGTCCACCATAAATCCCACTTGACGAGACCCAGGATCGAACCCGGGCCACCACAGTGGGAAGCCAGCGACTAATCGCTTGAGCTGTGGCACTGCCCTAACAGTTGTTACACATCTGGTTGTTCTCTCAATTTAGTGACATTGCTTTTATAAATACGGTATTTTCTTGAAGATCTTGCACACTTAAAAAAAGAGAGATGTATCTGATATCGAAAATTGAGCTTGCAGCATATTTGTGATGCAGTTGGCAATGCTGTGTATTGCAAGCGCCATTTTAACTTTCCAACTCCTTTTGCGTATCCATGCATAAACAGATATCCTGATATAGAGCATATTTGCACATATATCTGCACCCAAGCAACAGTTTGGGTGTGCAGTGTCAACTAAATTTTACTAGTTGAAGCCCCATAGTATTCGCCAGAGAACATGGAATCCAATGTTCCAAGGCAGTCTGGGAATGGATAGTGAGGTTCTTTTCCCCCTCCCTGACAAAGAACAATTTACATATCGGAAGCGGAAAAAGATAAACAGCAGGACATCAGAGCCTCTGAAGTACAAGGCTGTAGCCAAAATAAACACAGGATATTGGACTCAGATATGAAGACACCTTGTTAAATATACTCATGCTTGAAAATAAACTCACATGGACATTTTTACCCCACTTAAATATGGGTTGTGCAGCTTATTCAGGGTTGCTGATTATTTGAGAAAATAAAGTCACATATTGTAAATAAAATGTTTCCAATTCACTTGTTTATTGTCGTGGCTATTGTTGTTTTTATGTTGTTAGAGGTGAACCTCTGAATTTGTTTTCCTATAATTTACATGTGTTTTCTTTGGGTATGTTGACTTTTACATACTGATGTAGTTCATTTGCACCAAAAGCATGATGGCAAAATATAATTTTGTTTTATATTGTAGCGTTCACTGGAGGAATCAGGAGAAGAAACATGTGCCAGTCAAGAAACTAAAGGCGTTGAAGAGCAAAGAAATACAGACAGTGAGATTGCAGATGACAAAGCAGAAAGAGAAAGCAATGTGGAAACAATGGATACCTGAATTCCACATAAAACATAAGAAGAATTAACAAATGGTAAGCTTAAATGCCATAATGTGTGTCAGAGAAATCTGAAAGCATACGTCTTAATTCCAGTATTTGGTTTTTGAAAAACAGAAACACAACTAAGTGGAAATTTGAAACAGCCATACTGAACAAACTTTGATGTTGTGTATGAATGCAGTATAACAATAAAAGCAATTTGTGGAAGTGATATTAGTGTATTAAGATGGTTTAATTTATAGGTCTTAGGTGCCCAAAATTTTAATTTTGAAACAGTCCTGTTGATTTTACTTTGTGTCATAATAAGTTTAGGTGTGTCTTAATTGATGCTTGAATATGGAGCATCTGAACATCTCCCTTTGTGTATGATGTCAGGAAAACATATGTCAGAATGAGTCGTCAGTTTATTACAGAATCCATCATTATGTTGCTCATTCATCAGACTGAATTGTATGCTGTATGATAACTAAAGGACCGACATCTGTGGCATGTTACCTGCACAGTAGCAGATCTGTCTTGGTTACATCTCTTAACTACTGCCATGAAATTGGCATTGGGAGTGAAGGCTTTTGGATACAGGGAAATATGTATATTGGGGCTGGGATTATTTGTGAAAAATTTTCTGATGAAAAAAGAAGATATTTCATTGCCAGTAAGATGCACCACAGAAACTAGTACAGTAGAAGTGGGCTACTGAGGCATTCTAAAATATTGCCAAAAACTGAATATCACCATCTCAGAGGAAAAGCCAAAATTACTTAAGTAAGGAGATGGAATTATTACACAGATCAGTCTTTGGTCTGTCCACATGTTATGCAGAAATGTTCTGTAGTAATATTCCAGTGGGTTGTGTGACCTGTCCCTGTTGACACTGAAAATTCACTTACTTTGGCAGTGATAAAGTAGTTATTTATTTTCTTTGCAAGTATCTTTAAGCTCAATGGGCAGTAAGCTTTTCAGGGAACTTTCTGCTAATCCTTCTTGTTTCAATTATGTAGTGCAGTGACTGCCATTTAATAACTGTAATGTATTGTTCAGTTCCCATGGTGCCAGGCCCAATAGCTGAATGTTAAATTTCCTCTGTTCAGTATTCAAATTAATTGTCCCTTGGAAATACATTAAGTGGGAATTTATTGTGTGGCGTATAGCACAAAAGCAGGTAAAGCATTGTGGAGTTTTCACTGGTGAATGTGAAAATCATTGTCTTGTGGGTTGTAGTGGTACCCTTCTACCAGCCTACCGGCACACCATCCCGGAACACATTAAGCTTCAAATCACTCTTTTGCAGAGTACAAACTATAAATTTTAGCACAAAAATTATATTCTCTTGCAAGTATTTCCTCAAACCAGCTTTGTGCAATATTTTACTGACCTTGGTCTCACTTTGCACCTGACTGCCTATGAAACTTTCTGTGAAATTCTTTGATAGCTGTTAAATATTTGCTAGTTACCATCAGTTCTTTGGTGTTTGGTAACATTGTTATCACCAGGAGGTGGCATTGTTGTTTTCAAATGTTTCAGTGGAAAACTTAATACTGAATAATTAATTTCTCCTAATGTTACTATAATTTTCCACAAAATGGTTTTCCAAACTTCAAGTTCTTTCATTCACTTTATATCTTATTCTGTGTATGTTTAGTATTGGGCAGTTTATAGCTCCACTTTTTTTAAAATTTAATTTTGTTTGAATGTTTATTATATAAGCCATACTGTGAATGTCTGTAGTGTCAGTTCCTGTGGTGTTTCACATTTTGATGGTGCTAGATGTCAAGTTGAACATTCATATTCAATTTGTGCTGGTCCAATTTTCTGTGACTTCCTGTATGATGTGGGGGGGGGGGTCACTTTACGACTGGCAGTTCGCTGTTTACCGCAAATCAGTTCATATTGATGCCAAGCCCCTTAAGACTCATGGGCAGAGTTTTATCAATTGAACACTTGCAGTCATAGTCTGTATGTAACATCCTTTCTGATGAGAGGATGTGTCTGTCGATTACAATTGCTGCTGGTACTCACCAGCACAGTCATTCTCAGGTCCAAGTCCCGCAGGACTCATGACCACGTTTTACTCTCTCATATTCAAAACTCCCCCAACCTGGATGTCAGATCCCCTTATTTATATCCCCTAGGAAAGGGTAGCCCAGTTATACCCCCAGGAACTGGGTTCCCTTTCCGTCACCTTTTACAACTTGCAGGGCTGTGGTGGAGGTGACTTGAACATGCCTCTACACCCTGGAGAGCCAGTCTTCTATCCCTTGATGAATAAATTTGAGGTGGACCGAATACAAAACACTGCTAATTGCAATGTATATATGTAGTTTTCAGGTGAAGCAGATTCACAAAAGCTTTAAACTTGAGAATATTCCTTGTAACAACTTTCAGTTGAAGCAAATTTGGAATACTCATAAATGGATAAAATTTGTGGTTCAAAAATTATAATTCAGTACTTTCAGTGTTTGAAAATTAAATTGTTGATATAGTTATATTTGGAACTATAACAGTTATGAATTAGACAAGTGTTCCTGTCCTACATGAGCAGAACATTTCCGTCCATCTCACCTCCTACAGTTAGCATATTACTGCACTGTATGTTAACAAATTTGTTTAATTAACATCTTTCTAGGATTTTGGGTTCCTGGAATCATCTGATGCCTGAGATGAAGATTGGAGACTGCCACAGTTAGTAAGTTATGTTCATAGTAATGCTAGATCTGAGCATTCTCCACAAATCTGATTAGAGTAAGTGAATGCCTGGAAAACTGCAATTTGATTTTTTCATTTGAGAAGGTGTTTTCATTAAATATTTTTATTGTTATCTATAAACGTTTAACTGTATGGTCTGTGTTAATAATTTTTGGAAAAGAACAAATATGTTTTACATGAAGACTGCTTTCTTTTTCTGGCTTCCCATTCCATATTAAATTTAGTTTTAGTGATAATACTTGTAGGAAACAAACACTATGATTTCTTGGTATTTCATTTCCGAAAAATATAATTTTTGCAAATTACTTAGTGGCCACTTTAATTTCATGGCTTTCTACAGGCACTTGCACACAATCCTCTTGTACAATATATATATATATTTCAGGATCTGGGAATATTTTCTTTTATTTATTATTGGTATAATAAATAGTAACTTAATAGATAGAAAGACTTGAACTCAGGTTCTTCTTGTTTACAGTAATCAACTTCATTCGTTTCCATTTCATTTCATACTGACACTTCTGTCAACCATAAGCACAATTAACATGAATTTCAAATCAGATATCGAACACCAGTGTTTGCATGGCACTTCAGATAAAATACAACAAGAAAGATATGACATTTGCACTAATTACAGTCACTGGATCTCACATTATAATTTGTAGTTGTGAGGTCATTATGGGAATGTTTGGTATACCCAGGATTAATTACAGGAACATTTCAGATCCCATTCAAAACCAGCATAAAGTAAATTGCCATATTTTTGGAGCTTCAGGTACCATCATAACATGTCATACAAGTCTGTGTTGTGCAATTTTTCTTAAAGTGAGAAAATATCTACCCTTACAAAACCCTTCCACTTGAGGAGCTACTTGGTCAACTGCTGAAACCTGGAGAAGATGCATGTGTACATTCAACATGCTTGCTAGACCTATTATTGTGCCTTCATTGACCACAGATAGCACTCACAACTTATTTGGAAAGCACAGATTTTCTGTGGTACTGAAGATTGCTCTTTTGTCTGATGCCATGTACTGAGTAAGCTTATATGTGCTGTCTGCATCTTCCCTTGTACCCTGCTCACCACTAAGAACCTCATATCTTACATGTCTTTGATACATTAGAGATTGTCATTTCCTCAGCTACTTAGCTATGAAGGATTTCTTTTACCTAAGAACCATACCATAAAGACAGATTGGAGCATGGAGGTAAAATTCTCTGCTTTTTTAACCTCATCACTAGATGATCTCTCATATAGTGCTAAATCTGAATTGCATTATATAAGTTCTATCTTCTGGGATATAATACTGTGTAGTCTGTTGCAGCCCAAAATGTTGGTCAACTTTCAGCGGACTACACAGCATTATATCCCAGAAAAAAGAACACTTCATAACCACTGCTGTGAGAACCTCATATGCTACGCATATGTGTTACTCATACAGTACAGGAATTTAAAAACAAAATATGTTCATGCTGAATACCATGTATTTATACACTCAACTCTTGATTATCCAGGTTGTACAAACCGGTTTGCGGCTTAACCGGGGCTACCGGGGCTTTTTTGAGGCTTATATGTTGTTTAATATTCATTCACTCTTGTTTCACATGGTGAGTTGTAACACTATTTTCGCACTAGTGTGAACTGAGCTCTGCATTTTTTGGTCCCGTTATGCTAACACAGTGTTCTATCTTCAAGTGTGTTAGCAAAATATCAGGGTGTAAAAGGAAGTATGTTAAGTATTAAGCAGAAACTCGTGTGAGCCGGGCTTCGAAATGTTAAGCAGTGACAAAATTGTAAGTTCAGTGGGGGTGTAGCCAGAAGAGCGGGAAGAAAGTGAAAATGAGGAAGAGGTGGACAGTGCTGCTGGTAAGAAAATATCATATCTTGTTGCTCTTAATCATTTGGAATCCTTACTAGACTATCTTGAGAGTGAAGAGAACAGTTTATTAAGTGACAAGCTAATATTACGTAGGCTTCGTATGGATATCCGTAAAAAGGAAAATGCCACGAAAAAGCAAACAACAATATTAAATTATTCANGAGTTGAGTGTATCTGCAAAGCTGTGTAGGTTTGAAATAGGTTAGCTTCAGGGACAGCAGAGTGGACACTGAAATATGAAAAAGATGCATTGTTAAAATTTTTCATATCTTCCTGCCCCCACCCTACCCCACATATCCCCCAAGAATCTCATTGTCACACCCAGTGCATCATGTGTTAGATAATTTTTTGCAACAGATGGGGGCCCTCAGCATTCTCAGAAGGTTTTGGGGGTGCTTAAAAGATATTTGAAATATCTTGTTGCTAATGATCCCAAACCACATGGTGTTTTCTGCTCTGTGACTCTAATCTCTGTCCAGTTCCTAGGAATGCTAAGTGTTTTAGTGTTTAGTGTTCAGGTATAAAATTAATACAAGGGCTCAAGTGCAGATAATGGTATTTTTCAATAAAATTGTTCATTAGGTGTTTGCTGCATGACAGCATGTGTCTAAACATTTTGAGAAATTCCTGATGTGAAAACACAAGGTGTAAAGCTGTTTATAATCTCATCAGTTTAATTCCCGTTTCTTTTGGATCAGACATCGTTATTGAAATTTTGTTGAAATTCGTTATGGGACAACATTGCATAATGGTAGTCTGCCATTACAAGTTTTAGAAATGCTGAATTATTGTAAATTGTAATTTACTTTCAACGTTTCCATGTATCCTATAAACGATTCCATAGATTCTGCTCATGCTCATGATGGCAACACTGCACACATCCGCACTGTTCAGAGGCCTAAAAGCGGAACCAACAGCAGTGCTATATTCTGTTCTAAAAGCTTCATCACGGTGAAATACACTGATTACGGTTTGCCCAAGCGGCACCGCTTCTAACTTGTATACCGGAGATCAGTGGTTTGAATCTCAGCCGGGAAGCCGACTGTGTTGACAGAGGTTTGTCTTCAGGCGAACAACTGACAGCATCTCCAACTGGCCACGACCACTTCATTCCACATCCTTTCTAACTCATTGTCATTACTTATCAGATTATCCAACCAGAGACGCTACGTAGTCCAAAATACAGACGTCATTAAATAAACAACGAAGTAACCTGACTGTTTGTGAACTATACTACTGGGGTTCGATCTCCAGTAAATAGCCCTACAGCCATTACTTGCAGAATGAATCTTGCCAATTCATCCGCCTACTGGGAACTGAGGATTTTCCCTAGTGGTAAAGCGGCCAGGACATGAAGTTCATCGTTCAGTTCGATTTAGTGTCCAGTCTAAGAATACGTGGAACTCTCCCTACACTCGCCATGTACCCCTGCATGGTTTAATGCTAATTGGCAGTGACAAATTCATCTTGACTTCGCGATAAATGCTGACAGTTGCAGGGTTTGTTTATAAGTGATGCTATTCTACAGCAGATAAAAGAACAAGCGTTAAGACTGCGGTCTCTCCAGATGTGGCACCGTGTAGATTTCTACACTGGTAATCGTTTCAGAAAATCCTACTTCATTCATCTTCGGAGTAGAGAAAATACCCGTGTGTCATGAAGAGGGTCTGTAAGTTCCTCCGAAACACTGGTATCCATCTGTGGGAATCTCCCATAGCGCATAACAGACAACTCCAGCAGTGCACCGAAAACAGGCAATATTTATACATCGCTTGCAGCCCAGCTCTCTAGACATCAACACAAGCGCTATCCAATCAGTGCTTACAATTACAGCTCCAGCTAATGATCCTGTAGACCCAGCGCATCTCATCACTGAACTCCGCCAGCACATGGCCCACCTCAGACCAGTTCCAGCAGCACGCCACGCCTCCCCGGCTACTTTCGTGCACAGCGACCTTGAGAAGTGTACCCACGTCTTCCTTTGGCAGGACACAACGCGCTGGGCTTTTGAGCCCCCCTACAGTGGCCCCTACCAGCTGCTGTCACGGAGAGAGAAGACGCTGCAACTCCTCATGAGCGAGAGGCACGTCACTGTGTCAGCCGACATGGTCAAGTCGGCCTACATCCTAAAAGAGACCGACCGTGGGAACAGCATCAACCCGCCAGCCGCAGCAACCCAAATCCTAGGACCACCTGCCATGCCGCCACAGTCCATCGACATCCCACACATCTACGAAACTACACGACGTAACCGAAAAGACCTAAATGTTAACATTCACTGCTTTCAGAACCCCAGTAAGGTAAAGCTATGCCTGTAACAGGCCATGCAGACCCATGGGATTATGAGACGTCGAGGCTCCAACATTTTCTAGACAATCGGCTCACAGTGGTGAGGTTGTCAGCCTTTCCCCCAGGAATATTCATGGTACTCATTTCTATTACAGTCTGAGTCAACCCCGGGACCATAATGCGGCTGGAAGGATTAGCTAAATATAAAAATCCAATGACATCGGGAACCGAACCTGCAACCTTCCGGCTTGTAGCATAATCCCTCAACCAAGCTTTACAATGAAAGCAAAATAGAAAGAGAAATACACAGTGTGTCCAGGTTCTGTTAGGACTGTGTTCATTAAAAATACTAGACGTGATTTTTTTCAAAATGTCACTCTTTTTATTCAAAATAGTCTCCTTTTGAATCAATACATAGCTGGAATTGATTGAAAAGTTTTTGAAAACAGTCACTATACTCCTTTTGTGGAATCGCATTTAAAACTGTGGTACATTCCCTTTGGATGTCCTGGGTGGTGTCGTGACGGTCTCCTTTCATCACCAACTTAACGTTTGGGAACAATCAGAAATCTGCTGGAGTCAAATCTGGCAAATACGGAGGATGATCAAGGACTGTGATCCCTTTTCTGGCCAAAAAATCACTCACGATCTTCGATTTGTGGGGTGGGGCATTGTTGTGGAGAAGCGACCAGGAACCTTGCTCTTGATATTCAGGTCGAATTAGAAGAATTCTCGCCCACAAACCACTGAGGACACCGAGATAATAATCAGAAATCACTGTTTGACCTTCTGGCGGAAATTCCTTGTGAATGATTCCTTTGGAATCAAAGAAATCGGTTAGCAGTGTCTTTACTCAACTCTTTTGAATGCGCACTTTCTTTGGTTTTGGCGTCTTTGGGCTCAATCATGCTGCACTCTGCCGCTTTGTGAGAGGCTCATATTGAGAAAAAAAACCCATGTCTTGTCACCAGTAACAATCGATTTTGTAAATTTTGTGTAACATGTCTTTAC